AAAGTAGTGCTGAAGAATGGTTCCCTTAAATAAATAGATTCCAAGTCAGTTCGTCCTCACTAGGTGCTACTACCGGTTGCACCCCTTTCCCATTATCTATCCGCGTTTCCAACGAAGAAGGAAGGTCCTAAACTTGCTTTTAGGTGTTCCGGAACATGCATCAATCTCAAATTATTCTTTGAGTATTTAATCCACTTTTCGGCTTCCTCCAGATCACCACTACCATCAATGGAGTATGAATTCTCTTGAGACTCTCATAATAGTTCTTTGGTGAGTGGTTAGGGTGAAGTCCTTGGAATAACTATAGGATCGCATGCATTCTCTACCTTCGCGATATTCCCATTCTCATTCCCGTTGGTTGCGTGTGCATTAGGGTTGTTGTTGTTGCAGTTGTCTCGTCTAGTGTTGGCTATTTCCTACAAAAGGAAGGTAAACATTTCTATTGTATAAGAAAGGTATACTAGCGTACTTCGCACTCAAGGATATAAGAAAAGAAATGAACTTTCATTAATCGTTTAACACTATCCTAAGAGAATGTAAATTAAAGAAACAAAGGAAAAATGAGCTGCCAATGACCACACCTTTATCTCGTTTTCCATACTACCCTCCTCCGCATCCTCAAAAGAAGAGACTTTTACTTTCTAGGTAACACCTTTATTTAAGTTCTTAGCTTAGGAGAGCAAAGTGAGTCTCGACTAAAAGGAGAGGAAAGGTGTAATTGAGAAGAAGTTATTCCCGCCCTTTCTCTTATAGTGAGAAGGAAAGGCTTTTTCCCTTTCTTTTAAGCTTTTAAGCTTTGGATAAAGCGCAGGTTAAGCTAATAAGAAAGAAGCAAAGCTTGCATGATGAAGCTCGCCGCGGTCAGGGGTACGCGAAGCTACCAAAGTCAACTTGTCCCTCACTTTCACTCGGAATGGATGCAGTTCCAAAGTAAGGTCGGCAGGTTCTTCACTTCCAAGACTTGGCTAAGGCCTTCAATCCGGATAGGGGCATGTTTCAAGCTCATAGGTCAATTACATCGAACCTTACTCTTCCTAGTCCAAATGCCATACGAACATAGGTCCTCTTTCCCTTGGGAGTGCCTTTGGCATGGCACATGTAACTTGGGACCTTCGGCCCTCTTCTTTCTATCCATCCATACCTGGGGTACGTCAATCTAGCTCTGAAGTCCGTTGCAAGGGTCACGGAAAGGAAAATATTAACTTGAAGCTACCAAGATCCAACGGTGTCCTTATAATTATAGAAGGAAGAATCGATTCTCCCTCTATGTCCCCGATGGGACTTTTTGAACAGCGAGAGCTGTTCGGATACTCACAGCGAAAGATTCTCCGTTCAGTGTAGAATTTCCTTCCCTTTTCTAACCCTGCCTAGTTCCTATAACTTGGGGATCCTCTGCAAGCACAGTTGACTAAATATGTATATAATACAGACAAGGAAAGCAAACAATTGGTATTCGGGAGCCAACGGTCGCTTAAAGAAGATGTTGTCGACAGGTTTCCCTTCGATCGGAGCAAACGGCCTAAGCCTAAGGTTTAAAGATCTCGACCATACAAACTTTTCGAAGCGAAGTTCAGTCATAGAAAGAAGATCAAGAGGAGTATGAATCAGAGAGCAAATAGCATGGATATGTCTCTGTCATCGATCACTGGGAGGAGGTTGTTAAGAAAACAACTGGTATGTCCCCCCGGGGCGGTACCACCACTTCCCCCGTTCATTCCGCGCAACCAATAACTTCACGGATCCGAGTAAGACTTGTTGCTAACTCCCTACTAAGCAGCCAGCCCGCTGCTTGAACCTTTGCTTTGCGAGGAGTCCCACGAATAAGAAGCTGCATTGCACTGCCGCATAAACAATGGATCCGCTGGGCTGGATGAGCAACCTTCTATCTGGCCTCTGTACCAGTAGTAGAGTGGCTTGCTACTTGAAATCAGAAAAGGAAGCAAGGTAAATGTAATCTTTAGAAGTTCAGTCATAGAAGTTCGGAGGGGAAAAGAGGAGGAACCCTCTTCTCTGGTAACCCGCCGCCGCATATGTAGAAAAAGAGGGAGCGGAGAGACGGCACTATTATATACTTTCTTACATTTCACCACTGGTAGTCGGGAAAAGAGTGATCCTAGTTTTTAAATAATGTTTTGGAACTGAGCCTCAAAGCTTCAAAGGAAGAACAAGCCTTTGACTTTGGCACATGAGGTGTCGGGTTTGGCTAGGTAACATAATGGAAATGTATCGGACTGCAAATCCTGGAGGTTCGACCCCTACAAACGAAGCGAAGCGAAGTGAAGTCATAAGTAGTAAGCCTCAAGGAGTGGTGAGCAGCACAGAACTTGTTTCAATCAAATGGCATAGCATAGGTTGGGGCTTTCCTTTGTTAGAAATCCACAGACAACATTGACGAACTTCCAAACCAAAGAAATGCAACATGAAAAGGAGCTTTTGACGTTACGCTTCAATAGAATGAATTCTGTAAGGGTAGAGTACGCCCTATGGTCGATCGAAGGTCCTGTGCCACTTTCACTCCAATCTATCTGACCTTCAATCCATCTTTGTCCAGCCAGTTCATAACAAAATCTTAGACCAAGGTTCGATGTAATTGACGAATTGGTTGAGGAAAAAGAAACCCCAGCGACCAAGCACTCCCGCCCCCAAAAGCTACGACCGAAGAACCGCCAGGTTGTCAAGGACACGTCTGAAGAAGAGGCGGGCGCCCTCACAGTTTACCACCCTACCTACTAATGGACGGGGGGTAGGCGAAGGGGAACCGACCGAAAACCCGAACCGCTGTTCTGACCCCTTCATAGTCCATTCATTAGGGTTGGGGATGAATGAAACCAATCAGAAGTGCTTCAAGCGAAGCCGGGAAACGGACCGCAGCGCAACGACTAGGACTCGTGTCGGAGGAGTTTTGAGCGTGAGCTACCACTTAGAAAATGGAGATTCTCGGACGGGGAAAAGCGACACTCGACATCTATAAAACAACACCAAGAACAAAGCCATACTATGCCCTCCTCGGGATAAACTAGTGATGATTCCCATGAATGCTGCCCTCGAGGACGTGTACAAGAAGTGCCGATTCCTATCAACATGGTGCATCTCTTAGTAGAGGGGCGGGCCGTGGAGACTTTGACCGAATGAATAGGTCAATTGCATCTTTAGAAGCGAAGTGAAGTCATAGAGGTTTCTCAATATGAATCTCGAGAGTGGATGGTTGATCGCCGCCTCCTTGTCCTGGAGGCTCTCCGGCCGGGGAGGGACTTGCTATCGTAACCTTTTCTCCTGGTCGGTGTATGTGATTTAGAGTGACGAACTCCTTTTTTTAGGTCATAGGATCGATGTAATTGAGAAAGAGAGTCGGCTTCCTTAAGTCCGTTGTTCCTCAGTAGCTCAGTGGTAGAGCGGTCGGCTGTTAACCGATTGGTCGTAGGTTCGAATCCTACTTGGGGAGAATTTGGATCGCTTTTCTGACTCTGACCTAGCGACCCCTGCCCCTCTCCTTAGTTTCTAAACTAGCATAATCGTGGGACATCAAAAGTGGGAAGTGGATTGTTGGTTTTTCTTCCTCACTCTCGTATAGGTGAACTTGGTTCATTCCATTCTTAGGGATAAGAAGGATTCACTGGGAAGACTTACGTACTATCTTCATTAGCCGGAAGGAAAATTAGTCTCCACTAGTGTCATTCGAAGAACGAACAATCAAAGGCTTACTTTAGGTAGGATAGATGGATGTGGCCCATTGGCTAAAGCTCTGCCAGCTTCTTGTAGACTGAACTTTCTTCTCTTTAGGCTCCGAGTTGTTTTTGGGTGGGATGGTCTAATTTTTCTTCGCCACTAGTGGCAACGAAGTTCTTGGTAATTAGCAAGGGGGAAGGAAGATCTCCACTCATTTCATTCATTCAGTGCCTGCGGTGAGGCGCGACCCACAAGCGACGAAGGGGGGCGCTAGGGAAGGCCGACGACTACATGAGGGGGAAGCTCTCGTAGAAGCCTCCTTCGGACCCTTGCTTTACAGAAATTGTTATGAACTGACTAAATGACTAGATTCTCCCGGAACGCTAGCTAAGCTAATCGTTTTAGTTCCCTTCAATTAAATCAATAAGCTTTTTTTTGATTGATTCAGAGCGCCGCCCCCCTTCAACGAATTAGAACCCATTGAGGGGGCCTCGTTTTATGACTGAACTTCGCTTCGAAAAGTTTGTTGGGTCAATGAAGAAGTGGAAAACTGACTCGTTCGCTTCCTCACTTGCCGTTCGGTCTGATCCGGTTAGTTCGCCTATTTCCGGTTAAGAGGAATGAATTGTCTAGTTCGAGAGACTTCGTTCCTTTTCTCTTCCCATGCAATGACTCACTCTTCACGAACCATTTGGTCCGGTAAAGAAGGATACCTTGCTGGGGTTAAGTTCCCGGTTACTAACTCAATGAGCAAACTCCCTCGGGCCAGGACTCAGGAATTGTTTGATGAATAGTATCGAAGGAGGTGCTTACAGGGTGCATTCGGAATGTTTGTTGTGCAGTTGCCGCTCGTTTCGCGCCAATATCGGACTCATAAAGGAGAGCCTCATCCGCATTGAAGACTTTCTGACGGGGTTGGGACATTACACATTCAATTTCTCGATCCAGCGAAAGCAGATCAATTGGCAGTTAGGGTCGATGTAATTGAGAGATGCTATGTCCTCTTTGCCGAGTCATCCCCTTAGCTTAGAGACGGATCCAAGTCATCTTATTACGTAAGAAACTATGACAAAAGCAAGATTGAGATAGACGTAGCTACTGGTTGAGCTCTCTCTTTACCCCAGGTGGGACCTAATCCATCAATCTGATCGTCATTGGCAAGTATATGAATGCGCTTCATTGAAGTTACCTGGTAGTTCGCGGACTGGTACTCATAGAATCAATGTATTGAGGCTACTAAACCCGGAATGAGATCATTGATTGGGTGCTCTTTGGCTAGGTGAGATGGCATTCAAAGGTAAGCCTGATCTAAGCAGTATTCCGAGGGGATAGAAACGGAAAGCAAGACGAAATCCAGTGTAGAAAAAGAACCTTGCAAGGAAGGAATGAAGCTATAGATATGATGGATATATTTTTGTAAAAAGAGTCAATTTCAGCCCAATCACAGTGGTGAGCAGAGCCCTCGTCCCATCGATATACCGATATCGATATTTATTTTCCTTCGCAATCCATTCCTTAGAACCACTTAATCGGATTTTGAAACAGGCACTAGCTCCCGAGACAAGAAACAAGGGTGGTATATAGAAGCTCCAGGTTAGCGATCATCAACGGCTGGGCAATCTTCTTCTAATTCTCAGAGCGGAATGGCACTGTAAGTTTCATGATCTTTTGATCAAAAGAAATGATGAATCCGGACGATCTACGATCAAGGTACGAGGAATTCAGCTCGATCTTCTCCTGGTTCAGAATTGGCGTAATGTCGGCCTAAAGCCTCGTTTTCTATTTCATTAAAGCAAAAGAGACTCCCATGGGCATGGGAGGAGAGTCATTCCTAGCAAGAGGTGGGTCGGCGTAAAGAAGAAATGCAAGGGTTGGGCACCGCCCAGATCCTAAAAAGGATATGTGGAAGAGAGTTGAGCCTCAAGAATTTCGTAAAGATGGACTAGCTCGAGACCTTGGCTTCAAACAATCGATTGAATCTGGATTCCTTTGCTTATCCTTCCTGGCTATAGTCTCTCTTGTGCCTTCGGCAGTTCAGTTAAAGATTTCTGTATCAGCAGTTTGTTTCCTTCCGGATTTCAACATTTCTTTCAGCCCGGTCTAGCCATTGAAACTAGCTCTTCCTCAGTTCTCAAGTGGTTTTATTCTACGGGTGCTGCTTACTTACTAACTTCTTCTAGACTAGAATGGTCAATAAGGCGTATAACTTCCTTTATAAAGAAAGAGGCCGGCCCATGCATGGGGATGCTCCACGAGCGAGGGAAGAGGTGTAAAAGGCTGTGATGTCATAAGCTTTACAGGCAGTAAGTAGTTAGTTGTCGTGCACTGTGTAAAGCAAGAGGAAAGGGCGCAGCTTGCACAACATAGAATTACGGAGGAAGGAGCTATAGATTACGTGGCTAGGAAGGAGGAGCTCTAGTAAGTAGCTTTTGATGGATGAAGTTAGCGAAAGAGAGTATTTCCTCCTCACTCAAATGCGCCACACTAATTACGTGGCTGGCCTTCCTTCGTCGATAAGATAGTTGCAGCATATAGTTCAATAACAGCTGTTTTGAAACCATCGAATACGGGTGAAACTTGTACACTAGGTTCCAATAGTATAGTCACTACCAAGTTCTTATTGGTCTACTGTCGAATACACATAGTCACTACCGGGGGACAAAGTTTATAGCTTCACTTTTTTTCTCAGTTGGTTGCCTACTTATATATACTTTAGGGAATACGTGTTTTTTCCTTCCTACCTCAACAAAAGAAGCACCCACCATTTCACTGCTTTCTTTTCCTGCGGGGCGTATTCTTATTAAGTACCTATTTAGTTAAGTGAGTTCGGGCAGTCCTTTCACTTGCCCCTCTTTCTGCTTGTAGACCTTCTTTGAACCGGCACTAGCGAGCCCGGCTTTCCCTTTCAAGCCTTGTTTACTTGACCCCTTCCTTCAGCCTTTCTCCCTTTCTTCTTTCTGGGGGCTATTTTGCCAGTACATACTCAATGCTCTTTTGCTTTTTCTTTTTTTTTTTTGTTGTGAGAGGTAGTTAACATTAGGGCATTGGGATTTGCTTCTTGACCTTTCCTATATGCCGATATGGAGTAGCAGGAATAGCAGGCAATCCAAAATATTAATGGTAGTTTGAGGTTTATTTAGATAGATTCGCCTTTGGGGTTGTTACAGAATCGGTTCTTCAAGAAGGAGCTCTTAGTACGGTGGATGCATCGAATGCAAGCTGTAAGGAAGAAGAATTCTCTTAGCAGACAAGAATGAAATTCAATTAGTCCCACACTTCCCGCAGGAATCGAAGAGTACGCAAGCACATTCATTTAATGGGAAAGCTTTCCTTGGCTAGGCCCCTATGAAGAAAGATGCCAATTCCCAAAAGCAGTAACAATAGCAATAGCAGTAGGAGTAGCATTAGGAATTAAGACCGTCAGGCCTCATTCATCAAAGTTGCAGTCCTTAGGGGCTGAAAAAGAGCCCAGATTCCCCGCAACAAGCTTGGAAAGGAAGAAGACATG